CCGTCCGCTTCTCGCCCGGCGCCCACTACCTGCTCACCGGCTCCTACGACATGAAGATCAAGGTGACAGACCTGCAAGGTAACGCAGCCACAGCGTCACAGGCTGCCTTCCTGCTCGGGGCTTCTCACCCTGGAGTTGAGGACTTGGCTCAAGGATCAGGTTTTACTTGGAAAGGGGGAAAAATAGTAGAGCTTTGAAAGGTTGGATGTGTATGTATGGTGGTTGTGTCTGGTGGAAATTGGCTGAGTCGTGTGGCTGTGAACTGAATCTTGGTTTGGGGTGAGTGTCTCATTACAGTAAAAGCACTGATTAACACTCTTGCCTGGTGTTAATGGCCTTTGCTTTCAGACAGTATTCATAAGATTGACCCTTTAAAAAAGCCCTAAAAAGTATAGTAATTCTCATTTTTATTGGGATAAGTTAAGAATAGGAAAGATATCGGGTGTGTCTAATTGACTTGATTCTCTTGGACCATTAAATTTTAATCACTTTGTGTTAAAACGGTGGAGATCTGCATTTTTAAGTTGTACTTTGTCCAGTAAAGCCTAAAAGTTGAAACACTGGGGCCTTTTGTTATGCTCAATGTATGTGTGAGAGAAAAGGGACTCAAGTGGGCTTCATAAGGTGAAATACAGATAGAAGCCTAAAGTAAGCAAAGTGGTTAACAAAAGACCCTCCACCCGAGGGCTGGGATATGGATTCATGGCATGAGTAATGATTTCTGTTCCTCTTCACAGGGGACCTGACGAAGCAGCTTCCTCTGATGGTGGTAGGGGAGCACAAGGACAAAGTTATTCAGTGCAGGTGGCACACACAAGATCTTTCCTTCCTGTCATCTTCTGCAGACAGAACTGTAACCCTTTGGACCTACAATGGTTAGAGTGCAAACAAAGGCAACTATGCAGCTAAAGCACAGAGACCGATACTATGGAACTGTCCAAACAAGTAATAATAATGAGGCTTTGAGAGAGCAGCAGTTGAGCACGAGAGTGTCTTACCAAGAGGAGGGGCACCTGTCACTGATTTTTCTGGTTTCTAGGAGGTCTTGGTGTTTTTAGTATATTCTTTTGCAGTGCTTCCAGTCTTCCATGTTGAACTCATGCTGCTGTGACCTATTGTAGTCTTGTTGCCAAAGTCTATGAGGAGAACTCTTCTGTTGTTGATGTGCACTCAGAGTAACATGAATGATGTGTTTACAGTTTGGTATTAATTGCATTCCTTGTTCTTTGCCTCAATGAGAATTTTGTATAGAAACCTAAGTTGAGGAACACTTTAATCAAGTCTGTATGTAACTAGTTACACACACACATGAAAGAAAAACTACTTCCACTGTTTTTTCAGGTTTATTGTATTCATCACTTTTAAACAAGAGCTCAAACTTGGTAACATCTCCATAGTTTCAACATTTTTAGTAAAAAAAAAAAAATCTGAACTTTAAAGGTTGGCTAGGTAGTAACCACTTCTTGATTATGGTCCATTATATAGTGGGGGCTTTTCTTTCTTTTCATCTAACCTGGGAAAAATGTTGCTGTTTTTACTACATGACATTATTTTGAACCAGCTAACATGTTGGAGGGGGAAAAGTAAAATATTGACTTTTTCAGTAGAAACATGTAATATTTTACTTTTTGAATGCAACAGAATACCTCTGTGTATAATGTACTGTAGAAAAGAGTGGATTGGCAGAAGTTGTCACAGTGAGCTTAATGGCTATCAATTTTTCAAGTAAAAGGGATACCATTAATGCTGTAATACAAACCAGCATGGCTTAAAATGCTATGTCTGCATGATAATTTAAGAATTGTTTAAATTCCCGGTTCAGAAGCTTACCTGAATTTTATTTCTTGCACTGTTTATGTATGGGAGATTGCAGTTTTATTTCTACAAAACTTTAGATTCTAATGTTTATGTATTGTTATATTTTCATATTGTACAGTTCCTTTTACTTTTTGAAATATAAACCTTAAACTTTAGGTTATTTATTTATTTGAACTGCAGTTACATTTTGGATTCTCTTGGTTACTAAATTATATGTGCACTGTAGCAAACATTTTTAACTATCGTATAAAAGTGGAAAGGTAACTATAGAAGTGTATCTGTGCTATAATCTCAATAAAGACCTCCAACACCTGCACCTCTTTCATCTGTTATTTTTAATTCTTGGTTTATAATTCCTCAAAGCAACTATGATACAGCAGTGTGACCTATGATTTAAGTATGCCAGAATTATAAGATACTTAAGAGCTTTGATACTGCTTCTAAGTATTGAAACTTGCCGTGCAATGAGTAATAATACTGAGTTGTAGAGCTGAAAATCTTGTTTATCTTTTCATTTATTAGATACATATACAGCAACAGGTATGTATGACACAATGATGCATACATAAAGCTATGTTGGAGGAAATAGGGTTTCTCTAGCTGTCAGTCTATTTAAATCAGCATATTTAGAGCAATAGTGATTTCCTGACATTAATTTCATTCCCAGTTGTGTCTTTACAGGGCGGGTCTGGTTGCACATCCATCATTTTACACCCCGCCTGCTGTGCCTGAGCTTGCATCGCATTTAGCGCCGGTTCGTCTCTCCGGCCGAGGCCCGCTCTCCGCTGCTCCCGCGGGGCGGGGCCCGTTCTCAGCCGGGGCCCGGGGCGGAGCCGCTGCTCCCGGGCGGGGCCCGCAGCCCGAACGGCGCCTCGGGCCCGGGCGGCGCTGCCGCGGCCGCTGCTCCGCGGCGCTTCCGGGGCGGAGCCGGGCCCGGCTGGGCGGCGGCGGCGGCTGGCGGGGCGGCCCCGCTGCGGGTAAACACCGGGTGAGCGCCGGGAGCCCCGCGGCCCCTCAGGTACTGCGGGCGGGCGGGCGGGCGCCGCTGGCCGGGGCCTGCGCGGTGTCGGGGCGGGGAGGGATTGAGGGCTGCGTGTGGCGGCGGAGCCCGTGTCGGGTGCCATGAGAAGGCGGGGGAGAACCGTGTGGAGCCGCTTCTCTATGGCCCTGGCGGTTCCTGCAGCTCTCGGGCGGCAGTGCCGGTCTGCGCCGGCCGGAGCGCGGCCCGCGGCCTGCGGAGCCGCACCGGGGAGACCAGGCCGTGGCGCCGGACAGGGCTGGGATGTTCCTGCAGGGCTGGCCGAGGTGAGTTCTGCCTGACGGGCATGCTGGCCCCTTCGTGAAGGAATGCTGGAAACCAAAGTTCATCAAGGAGGAATGTTAGCGTTGGCAGTGGTTCTCCAAGGGCAAGCTGCCTGCGCCCTTAGGAGCAGGATCTCTGAGGGAGCGCGGGGCATCGCTCTCTGAGGGAAACAAAGGATGGAGGAACGGCAGGAGGTGGTGTGGCCTTGCTCTTAAAACAGTGCGGCCAAGGGGAGCTAATCCAAAGGGTGACCCAAAACATGAACGTGCTCTGTTAACTCCAAAATACCTATCACTTTCTGCACTCCTACGTGTGTTAATGAAGCAAGACGTGTACATGCTTTAAAGTCACTCAAACTGCACCTAAATACGAAATGTCATCAACTGAAGCTCTGCCTTTTACCCTCCCTCACAAAACCAATATAAGTATAGGCTAAGAGGGGCGGAGGTCGGAGGAGACTCCACCTTGTATCGTGGGTCTGTCGGCGGGCTGTGCCTCTTTCCTCCCCCATAGGAATGCCTTTTGGGTAAGGCTCGGACACCGAGTGCTCCCTCAGGGAATTCAGAGAGCCAGCTGCTGTTTGCGATTGTGCTCTTAGTCGTGTCCCACTGTAACGTATTTTTTGTCGGTTTATCGCTCATATTTTTTGTGTTCATGTGCTCCTGCAGACGGTGTGTTTATCACTGACAGCTTTTCTGTTGCTCAGCAAATGACAGTGTTTTGCACCTGAGGGTTGTTGAGCGTTTCCAGGCTGTGGTCTGGCCAGGAGAGTTTGTTGGACGCCCCGGACTCACGGTGTGTCTGTCGCGCTGTGTGTGCATCTGTGATTGTGGTGGTTCGTACTGAGTGTGACTGGAGCCACAGTGCTGTGGCTGAAGCACAGGGCTCTGTGCTTCCCTTTTTGTGCGGAATTGGCCATCCCTCAAAGCACAGCCACTCCCAGCCCCTCTGGTATCCGAGGAACGGCTGAAATGTCAAGGGCAGTTTTTCTGCCAAGTCTTCCTATTAATGTGACAGTAAAATTTGCTTTACTGTTAACACAGTGCCGTTGTGGTGAAGAGTGCTGGAGTTCTGCACCGTTTTATCATATTTAGCAATGCTGAACTCTGTGCTACACCTGCTGATAACAAAGTCAGGGGTATTGATCCACTCATATAATACAGTTTAATTGTGCATATTATTGTCAGCATTTTCCTTGGGAAGAAATAGGAGTGAGTTTAAACCTTCTTAAGGGAGAACTGAGTTTTTTAAAAGCTCCACTTTTAGTTTTTTTCTTGTAAGATTGTTTCATTTTTTTGATGCAGCATGTTACACCCTGACCTAAATACCTGAATTTCTTGTTGTATTCAGTGATACAGGATGCTGTTTCCTTTGGTGTTGTGTGCAGTGATGCTGACAGGGAACTGTAAAGCTCAAGAAGATGAATGGATTGACCCCACGGATATGCTCAATTATGATGCAGCATCAGGAACAATGAGAAGACCTTATAAGGTAGAGAAAGAAAGGGTGTGTGTCTCTCTGTTGGAAGATTGCTTTTAAACTGTGACAGTAAATAATGATAGCAGTATGGTGTTTTTAAGGGCTTATTATCTTGTATCTGAATCCATACACAGAAAAGTCTTTGTGTCCATGGTTAAAATTGCAAGAGAAAAAATAGTGTAATTAGCTCAGGATCTTTCCCTGGTGAGCTTCTGTTGCACTCAGATAAGTCACATCAAGCAGGCTTTTTGTATTTTCACAGGTGGTGCTTGATTTATGCAGGTTGTGGCACCACAGGTTACTGCTCTGAGAAGTACTGGGTTAAGCAGCTCTTGCTAATTTCTCAAGTATAGTGTTAAATATCTTGAAAATCAGGTTCCTAACTGATAAAAGTTGGGGGAGTTAAACTTAATTATTGTATTTTATTTTAGTCCACCAGTTTCCCAGCAATAGGAAGCAGTTTCCCATTTCTTGTGTGGGACTATTTTGAATTTTAATGGTGTTTTGTAATGCTGGGCCTCAGTTTTCAGAAGGTCAGACTAGGGATTGAGTGCTGTACTTTTAATGAATCATTAACACTGAAGAGAAGATGAACTAGGAAAAAAATCCATTCTAACAAGATGAATTTTCTCTGTCTTGTATGAGGAGTGAATCCTGAATACCGTGAGGTGCACGCTGGTTATCTTGTGCATGTGTGCACACATGGCCCTGTAAAGTGGAGGTGGTTATAAGGGCACCCTTGATTTTTGCCGTTATTCAACTTTCAAGTTTGGTTTTGCAGTCTTGAGTAATACTGCTTAAACACTACAGAGCATAATTTTCTGAAGCTTAAAAGATGCAGAGTGTGTTATTGCTCTCCACAGCTTTCCCCATCAACCTCCAACTTCTCCACGTCCACCTGATAGTCATTAACAACCTTAAGGCCCAGCAGCAAGCTTTGGAGCCCAACTGCTTCAGCTTTATATAAAAAATTAGTAGCTTTATTGTTGTCTCCCACAAAACTAGAACTACATCTTAATTACTACTTTGTGTTAGTCCATCTTCTCAGGATTTCTTTTGTGCTCTGCAGAGATTTCAGGTGGGCAGGCTGTGTGGGCTGCTCAAGCCCTCAGGAGCAAACTTTGTTTCAGCATGAGTTCGCTGGTTCAGGGCTGTTGTGCTTCCTCTTGGGGGCCTCCCTGGGTGTGCACACGTGGCTGGAAGCAGCCCTGCTCTGTGTCTGAGCAATGAGCAGAGGGCACAGGGAGCTCTGCAGTAGACAGAGGCAGGCAGCCAGAGTGGGGTTTGTGTTTGCCTGCAGTCTGGCTGCTGCTGTGGGAATTCGCCTGCCTCAAAGCTGCCCCTTTGCCTGCTGAGTCAGTTTTCAGCCAGTGCCATTATCTAATCTGATGCACTCTGAGGGTCAGCAGCCCTCAAAGGAGGGGAAAGGGCAAGGGGGGGAGGACAGGCAAGACCTCACCTTTTGCGTTTAGATAAACTCAAAGCAATTGTCCATCTGGAGCTTAAAATAACAGCAGAGAGGTAACTGCAGTGTCACTGGGAGGGTACTAGCAGCAAAGATCTGTACTCAATTTTTAGCTCCTTTGCTCATTCTAAAGTGATGTGGCTGTAGAAGTGTAACAGGGCTTGTTGGTCAAATTCTTGAATTCTGAAAATATGGTTTTCTTCTGTAATTTTAGCCAAACTATCATGACTCTGAGGAAGAGGCTGTGGATACAGTCAGTACTGAAATCTCACGTTGTTCCAGGGTAGTAGATTCCTTGCAACACAAGGTTTGTTCTTCAGAATATTTTCCCATTTTATAGTGCTTATAAATATGCTTATGTATTTTAGTGCTTGTAGTTTTTTGCTTTCTGATGATGCTCTTCTGGACAGTACCAAACAGGTGCATTGCTGGCATAATTTATTCTTTATGGAAGGGGAACCTCTAGGCAGAAGAGAGACTGGAAGTGGTTTGAATTCATGTTCAAGTTGTTGTTCTGCCTACAAAGGTCTGTTTCCTGACATGTTTTATAGTGTAACAAAGTCAGTAGGAGCTAGGTGCTTCTGCCCAGTGTCAGCAGTTTGGAGGTGTGGTGCTGAGCACCCCGTGCTGTTCTCAAGCTGTCAGTCCTGTCAGATTTTAGGGGTGGTTGTGGGCACAGAGACCAGGGCCATGTGCAGAGCTGCAGCTCTCAGGTGCTGCTGTCAGAGCCCCTCCCAGGGTGTGGGGATGCCTGAGTGGCTCCTGGGGCCCTTCCTGCCCTCAGCCATTTGCATCCCCAATGGGATATGTGGCATTTTAATGTTGTTTTAGTTACTTCGATTTTTTGGCAGTTCCCTCTTTTTTTTCCTGATGCAAACTTAAAGTGTAAGGAGATCCAGATGTTTGCGTTTGTTTCTAGACTTACTGAAGTCAGGATTTGAATATTACTAGCAGATGTGAAATCTCCAGTACTGGCCAGTTCTATGGAAAACAGTATGTTCAGTAACTGCATATGCTTTTTATCTGGCAGACTAACCAGGGAATCATTGCTAAACTAAAGAAATGTGCCCCTGTTAATCCTGAGCTAAATGTGTTGGTATATTTGGGGTTTTTCTCTCCTGTGAAGAAGCTGGTTTGAGCAAAGTGAATGAAAGTATCTTTTGCACAATTGCAGATTGCAGAGTGTGAGAAGAGGAATGCCAAATCACAGGAGAGCCGCAGCTTTTATATTTTTAAGCGATTCTTGAATAAGATTTTAAATGAAGCTGGAAAACTTGGCCTTGTAAGTATTTGAACAGTCATTTAAAAACACTTAATTAAAATGAATTCATATTACTGCTTTATGTAGTTTTCACAGTTACCCAGCATTGAGTAATTATGCTGGTGTACTTTAAATGCAATGAAGGGACCTGGATGGCAAAGGAAAAATGACAGAAGTGTGTGCATCCTGTACTACTGAGGAGACACAGTTGGTGTTTGATCTGTAGAGCATCCAAAGGAAAGGTTTGTGAATTCAGTGTATCTTAGCATCTGTTGGCTTAGCAGTCTGAGAGAGCTGAGGCTGTTCAGCCTGGGGAGGAGAAGGCTCTGGAGAGACCTTAGAAACCCTTTGAGTACCTGAAGGGGGGCCTATAAGAGGGAACTTTACTCCTAGTGCTAGGACAAGGGGAATAGCTTTGAACTGAAAGAGAGGAGGTTTAGAATAGATACTGGGAAGAAATTAATTGTTCTGATGGTTGTGAGGCACTGGAAGAAGTTGTCCAGAGAAGTTTCAGCAATGTGGTCTAGTGGGAGGTGTCCCTGACCATGAGGGTTGGAACCAGATTATCTTCAAGGTCCCTTCCAACCCAAACCATCCTGTGATTCTAACCGTCAAGGAATAGCAGCTTATTAGAGTTTCCATGTAAGAATCACCTTGTTACTTTCTTTATGCAGTGATTTCAGCTGGAATAGAGTGAATTTTCTTGCTGGTAGCTGGTGCAGGGCTGTGTTTTGGCTCAGAGTGAGGGCACTGTTGCTGACACTCTGGTGTTTCAGTGGTTGCTCACTGGTGCTGTCTCTAAGCCAAGGACTTGGCTGTGCCCGTGGCAGCCGGGAGGTGCAGGAGGAGCTGTGAGGGAGCGAGGCCGGGCCAGGGCCAGGGCAAAGCATGGCTGCTGTGCCCAGCATGGGCTGGGGGAGCTGCCTGGGAGGGGCTGGCAGCTGCTGGAGGCAGCAATTGCACTGTGCTGCACTTGTTCTTCTGGGGGTTATTTCCCTCTTTCTCTCTTTTCATGACTGGTAGTATTACTACCATCACATTTTATTTTGTTTGCTGTTCTTGCCTCAGCTCACGAGGTTTACCTTTTTGCTCATTCTCCTCCCCACCAGGAGGGATATTGGAGGGAGTGAGTGGCTGCATGATACTGTAGTTGTTGGCTGGGCACTTTATTATATTGTCTTTGGAGATTTTGTTTATTCAGAGGTAGAAGAATTCATTAATAAGCAAAATTATTGTTAAATAAGGAACATTACATTTAGCAGTGTAAAACTTCTTTAGTGTTTAATAGTTTCTTTCTGTTTTATCCAGCTTTGACTGAGGCACACACATAGTGTATATGTAATTATTACTTGTTAATGAGCCCTGGTCCTGAAATCTTAGTAACAAGTGAGATAGTTTATTTTTTTACGATTTGTTTCTTTAGAATTGAAAGATTACAAACCAGTTGAATTGTGTTTTGTGTAGTTTAGATGAACAAAAAGGTTATAGAATCATAGTGTGCCCCCTGTCCCACGTTTTCATCCTGCAGCCTGCTTCAGAAGGGCGCTGGTACAGAATGAATATGATCAGTTTTGGCCTATGGATGCATTTGTATTTCCAAATCAGCAGCTTTTAACCCTTGTTTTGCTTTGCTTGGAATGCAGCCTGGGGAAGAAGTGGGCCATGCCCACTACGATGCTGAGATCATTCTCACCAGGCAGACGTATTTGGAGATCCTCAGGTTTGTCAGTGAGGAGGCCTGGCAGCCAGGAGCCCTGGATGAGGCACTCAATGATATCTTGGTCAATTTTAAGCACCACAACGAGGAAGCTTGGCGGTGGAGATTTGAAGACACCTTTGGAATTGATCTATATCATTTGTTTTGGGTAAGAGAATAAAGGTTGATTATTGCTTTTAATTGCTGTTTTCTACAGTTTCTCTGTGCTAATCAATATTACCATCTTAACTCCACAGATAAAGCAATTCCTTCCATCATATTTCAAGTCAGTCTTTTTTTTTTTTTTTGTGGTTGCTGAAGGATGTATTTGCTTTAATAAGGAATTCAAGTTTTTTATTCCTGTGGTCATCTGTTCTCTATTGTAGCTTTGGTTTGGGGCTTTTTTCCTGGTGTTCTTTTTCTTTTCTAGTCTTTTATATCTATGCTGCCAGACTCATTGTGCTCTAGCACTTTCTTACCTTGAGAACTGACACCTCATGCATTGTAGATCTTCCATGTTGGTCTCTTGTTCATCTAGCTGTTGAAGCTGTTGGCTTCTCCAAGAGTTGGAATATATACTGAGACAAGTATATGTTTAAACCCCTATAGGTCAGAGGCTTTTGCAAATTTTGTGGAAAAAATTGTATAGGGTTGGAGAGGAGAGAGGAGAGTTGGGAATTATAAAGTGCTAAGCTGAGGATCTCTAATAAAGATGACGCTTTCTGAATAAATCTTTACAATTCAGAATATGCCAGTGTTTTGTGCTGACATAATCTTGCAAGTAGCCTGTCTAGATTTGAGGGGTCCCTGGAAGCCAGATGACAAAAGGAGGCTCAGTAACCTCTGAGAGGGGTCCTGGGGTGGAAAGACACTGTGGAGTCCTTTGAAGTCTTGCGGCCGGTACCCAAACTGTAACTTGGTGCAGGAGTTAGCAGCAGTTGTTCTGTGGTTCAGAGCAGGCACAAACTGCTCAAGCACTGGCTGACACCAATTTGATCATTTAGAAGTGTGGTTGCTAATGTAACAAATAACCTGAGAAATAACTAAATATCACAAGAAACAAATGAGCAGCTGCAATGTCAGGCTGTGGCAGGGATGAGTATTGGTACTGCCACAAAGCTGTCCTGCCTTGTGCTGCTCAGATGGGCTGTGGAAGCAAGGAAAAACTCAGCTATTCTGTGTAAATGGCATCAGTAAAAACAAAAGTTGGAAGTTTCTTCATCTTACTGTCAGAAGAGATGAAAGGTCCAAATATGGGTCATAATGTTTTCCTCTTTTCTTTTTCAGCTACTCCTGTGCGTAGCGTGCATTGTGATTGTACTGGCTACAGAAGTGAGGACCTATGTGTCCCGCTTTGTTCAGCTGAAATATGTTTTATTTATGACTTTCCTCGTCAGCTTTGTATGGAATTGGTTTTACTTGTACACGGTAAGTTCTGGAATCGTAATGGCTTTCTGGCTTAGAACGGTACAGCTATGAGGGAGTTAAGGTTGTTTAGTTCCTTTGGTTAGTTTACATACAGCTTTTAATTAACTGCAAAATAAAAAAGGGATAAACATTTTTCTTTTGCATGTTGATAGGGGTGTTAGGTGTAAAGAACAAAAGAAACCCTGACAACTGTATTGAGCTGTAGAGATGCACAAAATTCAGAGAGCACTAAACTCTGATTTCACTACATGGGCAAGGCAGATGTAACCTCTGACTGAAGCAGCTTGGTAGAAAAGTTATACAGAAATATATTCAGATTTTTTTTCTTAAGATTCCCTGGTAGAAACTTTCATGTGATAGACCAGATAAATGCCTCATTAATTAAGTGGCTGATGGTACAATCAAATCAGTTTTATAGAGGAGGAATGTAGGACACCAGATCAAAGCCCAGCCACAAAATCTGCCCTCCCATCTTGTCAATGAGGATTGAAGTGCAGTGTGTCAGAGCCAGGGACAGCAGTGCTGGAGAGTGGCATGGCTCTGGTGGGCTTGGAATGCCATGCAGGTGGCTTGGGTTGAGGCAGTGAACAATGTCAGTTTTACAACAGAGGATCTGACCAATTTTTCTCTTGATTATCAGTTGCAATCAGTAAGGCAAAACTATAATAAATACAGTTATTTCTTATGCAATTTATTTGAAAAAGAAAAGAGGAAGTTTTAACTAGTAATTCCATGACAGCTGTGTCTCTGTTCCAGAAACATGTTAAGATGTCATCAGTTTACTTTTGCCTTGAACTTGTATCTTCCAACATTGGAGTCTGATCCTTTGACAATTCAGATTCCTTTTGGAGAATAACTTGGAGGTAGCCATTATCTCAGGGTTTTTGTCCATTCCTAGGAAGTTCTTAGAATTTAACTCCATTAAATTGTTTAGGTAGTAAACTTTTCTAAATACATATTACATGGGGAATTGTCATTACAAGGGGACAATGTGGAAGTTCCCATTTATGTGGGAACTGTCCCCAGGCTGCAGAGAGCCAGCAGGGCTGCTGAGCAGCAGCACTCGTGGCTGCAGCACTCAGTGTGTGTCTCCCTGCAGCTGGCCTTCGCTCAGCACCAGGCAGAGATGGCCAAGATGGGGCAGTTTGACAAGGTCTGTGCCGAGAAGCTGGAGTGGTATGGAAGTCTCATGGGTAAGCTCTTCTCTTGGTACTTTGCAGAAGTGGTTAATTTCACTAAATATCCATCCATAGTATCCCAGGATACTTGGATTTCTTCATGGGTAGTATGGGGAATTCTCCTCAATACATGATTACATGGTTTTACCCTTTTCCCATCCCATAAGATTTTGTTTTCTAGGCCTGGGGAGGAGAGCTGATCACAGCACTGTACTTGGGGTATGTCATGGTGTTACTTCTTTTTCTTGTAACTTACCTGTTTCCCCAGTATATTCAGTGCCCTTTACTAAAGACAGGCAGGCAGAGTTCAGAGCAAGGATTTTTTTTTCATGTATTACACCTGTGAGTGCAATGGATTTCAGGAATTGGATCTATAATTGTTTATTCAGGTGATACTATTTTACAGAGAAAGCTGGTTTTTTTTATTAGCTGTTATTTCTGTCAGTGCCATAGCAGAAAGATGAAGGGTGGCAGCTCTTAAAGATTGCTTGTTATGGTCTTCCCTGTGTAATTTCTTGACTTTGTTTTTGATTGCATGTCAATGATTTATGTGCTGTAAAACTACAGACTACAGAAACACTGATGTCATGAATCACTTGTTTATAATGTAAAGGTTCCCTTAAGAAGTAAGACTTCCTGCTTGTAACTAAAACAGACCCTTAAATCCAGCAAGCAAAAGGAGACAATTTCAGTCTCCCTGCAGACTGGCAGATGGGCAGTAACACAGAGTGATGCTGTGTCAGTAGCTGTGGACAGCGTTCACAGTAAGTTCATAGTTTCCACACATGAGACTTTTTTCCCTGAGGCTTCTGGGAACTGATCTCACCCAAAGAGCTTTCTTGATTATACATGGGAAAATTTCAGGTTCTTCTCTTTTTTTCCAGCCTTCCCTCCCCTTCCTGCATCCCCTTGACTGGATAAACTGTACTTCCAGCCAATCTCAGATGTGTAAAAATAAATCTTTTGGACCATGTCTAGAAGAGTTCTCTTCCGTCTGTAACTGAAATGCTGCTTTCTGTATTGCTGCTGTGTCACAAAATATCTTTTTAAGAAGTAGTAACAATATGTGTCTGCTTTGATTTCAGAATGGCTTAGAAGCACATGGACGTTTCAGGATGATCCCTGTAAGAAGTATTATGAAATTCTGCTTGTAAATCCTGTGTATATGGTTCCACCATCAAAGGTATGTGCCAAGCCTGAGGGGACTGCCAAGGCCTAGGTTGGTGTTTGTGTGACAGCACTGGTTTTCTGCTTCTTTTCTAGGCCTTGGCAGTAACTTTCACCAACTTTGTAACTGAGCCTTTGAAGGACATAGGACAAGGTATTGGTGAATTCATCAAGGCACTTATGAAGGAGATACCATTAATTCTGCAGGTTCCAGTGCTCATTACCATGGCTCTGGGTGTCCTGGTTTGTATACATTCATCTTACATTTAGAAGCTCAGCTTTATTTTTTAAATATTAAATGTGTTTATATTTAAGTATTATCTATTATATTGCGTATTTCTCATTTGTAAACTGAACAGATTTCTTAGCACAAAGAAATTACTTCTGCAAGGGAATTTTTTCTTGACAAAGGTTTCATACTACAGTTGGTCTAGGAATTAAAAGAGCTGAGTTTTGCGTTCAAACTGTATTCCTCTCCCACTCCCCAAGTGGGATACAGTAGCATTAAATTGCTTCAGATCTTAGGCTCTGTGACAGTTTATTGCACCTTAGGTCCCATTTCTTCTTTGAGTCATTAATTGTGATGTGTGTGGCTGGCATTTAACACAAAGACATTGAGTTAGAGCCTTAAACATTAATGTAGCACTAACAATGAACTGCATCCAGCCTGGCAGTTCCTGCAGTGTGGTCAGACTGCAGAAAGCTTGAGCTGGAGCCATTCCCTTCACCTGACTTTTTCCTTAAGGGTCTTGCAGATATATGACAAGAAATCTGTGTGAAAACCATAGGCTGCAGATATTTGGTGTTTTGCTCAGTTTTGGTTTTTTCCTCTCCCCCAGACTTTTTGCTATGGTGCAGGATCATCAGTGTCTGCATTAAGATACTTAAGGTCTTCTCAGAAGAAGAGTCTTCCCCTGCCTGCAGGTGGGCAGGAGCCCATGGCCTTTGGGCAGTACGATGGGAGGAGAGCAGATGAGTACTACCTGCAGCAGCAGCCCTACGTGCACAGAGGCCACCAGGACAGAGGGGACGCTGCCAGCAGGCCCCTGCTCCGGCTGAGAGCGGCCAGTGGCAGCAGGAGCCCGGACACAGCACTCAGCAGCGAGCAGCCGGATGCACTGCAGGTACCACAGGCACCTCCTGGGGCTCTGGGAGCTGCCAGGAAACTGAGCAGATTGCAGTGGCACCTGCTGAAACACAGTCAAACAACATCATGAAACCCAGATCTGGGGGAGAGAGCAGCTAAGGAACTACATGTTCCCCTATGGAACAGTTTGATAAAGGTGTCTTGGATGTGTTTCTTCTGGAAAAATATCTTGCAGTAGCTAACTTTCTCTGGCAAGAAACTACTGAATTAAAATGCTTTATGTTAAAGACAACTTCAGCTTTGAGATCAATATGTGTGTGAGCTGGGCAATCATGATAACCCACAGAAGAAATGTGGAGGAAAGCAGCAGTGCTGACTTCCCTGTAAACTGCAGAAAATTCAAACCAGGTTTATACTCTATATTGGGCTTATTTACATGTTCTGTTTCCCGAGGGGAAAAACATAGCCATCATGCTTTGGGTGAGCCCTGCCCCTTGAGCTGGGATGCACTTGGAATAATAGATGCTGTCACTTTTGATTGCTTAATTAATAGGTTATTATTGATTTTTTTTTTGCAGAACAGGTTGTACACTGAATCTGAAGTTCATAGACTTGAAACTCTCAAAGCTGAAAACCTTACTGCAGAACCTGCACTTGAGCAGCAAAAACAGGAGACAAGCAAAGTAGAGGGAGAGACTGGAGAAAACTGTGTCCCCAATAAAAACCTGGAACAGAAGAGTTCTGCCACAGAACCGTGCGAAGAGAAGAAAGAGAACGTTTTACATGAGTCCGGGAAAGAGAATAAGGAAGACCCAGACTCTACTGTAAGTTTTGTCTGATCTTTACTTGTCATATACTTGCTAATTCTGCTCTCATTCTCAAGTGTAGAAGAGACAAGACTATCAAGGTGGGAATGTAAAATCTGGGAGAGGGTACTCTGTCTGGAGTCTGAAATAAAGGTGTTAATAAGATGATGCACCTCTAAGTGGCCAGAAAAACCCAGGCTTCTGGAGTGCTGCTGCTTGTTGGAAATCAGGTTTGTGTAATAAGTTTTGAGTAATTGCCATAATGCTAATCCCCAGCTCAGATGTCTCAGGTCTGTCTTTGGGTTTATGTTCTTTAAAAACATAAAAAGTTTGCTTCTTGTCAGCTCAGTTTTAGGGCAGCTGATTTGCTCCTGGTGTAATGATGTGCAGAGAGTGAGCAGCTGATGTTGCAGTGGGCAGTTTGGGGCAGCTCAGAGCGGAACAGGGCCAGGAGAGGAGCTGCCCTGGGGATGGACATTGCAGTGCTTGTTCCCAGAGCTCCCCCAGCCCAGCTTGTCCTTAGCCAGGGCCAGTGAGCAGCTGAGGTCAGGCACAGGCAGCAGCAGCAGCTGTACATTTCTGTGGCTGGCACTGGAAGCCGGGGTGCTGCAGGCACTGCCCCACACCCATGGCAGGGGGTGCCCAGTGCCTACCACCCCTGTGAGTCCCTGGGGCATGGGCACCTTTCACACAAGCTGTAGAGCAGCATGAGCAGCTGTTTCTTGAAATAAGTACTTCTTGATAACTTCTGCTGATTGCAGAACTGTTCTGAATTAATGTGGGAAACAGTTAGCTAAATATTACCAAAAAACCATAATGCTTGAAAAAACTATTTTTTATTAAACAGAATTAAAACTAGGGTTTAATTTTTTTATAGAAATAATTGTTTCTTCCAAACTGTGTTTCTGCAAAGAGACTAAATACTAAAGCTATTTATTCTCTTTTTTTAAATTATTTTTTAAAAAAAGTATAAAAGAAAACAGAACTCTTTTTCAGGAAGTACAAATCAGGGGAAAAAAATCAAATTTTCTTTAAAAAGAACATAAAAATTTAAGTCTTTCACTAGATTGAGACAGTGGTAGAATCCACTAATGAGCAATGAGAGCATTGACAGAGAAAAAAAAGTCATAATAATTTTGACAGACTAGAAGCAAATAAGAGGGAGACACAGTACCAGTACCTCAGACACTGCTCTGAAAGCAGCTGCCAAATGCACGAGCAGGGGCAGCTCTGTAAGTGCTGCTCACCAGTGAGATGCTGCTGCTGTTTCTGTGAAAAATCAGGAGAAAGGAGACAGAGCTACTGATTGCAGTCATCTAAAAAAGGCAAGTGTGCTTTTCCAGCAAACCAGAATGATCCCTAGGATGCTGCTGTACATACTGCTGGGCTCTTCAGCTGGAATTGGGTCCCTTTATGGCTGAGGGTAGCTGGACTCTCTGCTCATCCATTCTCTTGGCTTGTGAGCGCAAAATCAGGCTGAAAAAATCCTCATCTGGTACAGTGGGGCCTTTGGCAGCTCCTGGAGGAGCACATCTCTGATCATCCAGTCTGGAGCCCTACAGACAGACCAAGCAATACAAGCTGCATATTTACAGGAAGATATGGAGTAAGTGAACAATATTAAGTGAAAAAGCTACTAAAACCTTTTGCTGGCAGATTTAAAGCTCGTAGAGAGATTTAATTTATAAGTTTTGTTTCAAGTTAAACTTGCTAAATGAAATTAATGAGTCCAAGTGTAACTAAAACAGTTCCTCTGCCCCACTTGTCCCATGTGTCTAAAAGTGACCCCCCCCCCCAGTTCAGTTCTTTGACATATTGCAAAATGAGATTTCTTAGCATTAGTACAGGGTGTTTCTGGTCTCATACACCAGGAAGTATGGTTGTCTTCCTTTCCTTACACAGGGACTAAAAGATGGCTGCAGTGCTGTGAGATTTGGGAAGGCACTCCTTGAAGGCCCCTTGCCTCTGCTCTGTACAGCTGGGTACAGTTTAGTGCCAAGCTTCCAGAGCAGGTGGCAAACCCTGCTGGGCTGGGCTCTGCTCCCCAGGGGGGGAGTGGTGTTCCCACAGGAACAGGCTGCTGCTGGAGGGCACTGTGGGCACAGGAGGAAAAGCACAGCTCTCAGTGGTGGCTGGACCTGCGACAGGCACCCTTGGCACAAAAAGGCTCAAAGGCAGCAACCCTTCTGTGCTCGTTTAAAGCAGTCCATACTGATCAGAGGAGATGAAATATTTTTCCAGTCCTAAAAGAGAATATTTCTAGATTCTTTGCTTGACTCACAGAAGGAAACAGACAAGCTTCTATAACAGAACATGGTTTTTCAGCAGGCTGATGAGCACTGTCATGTAGACTCAATTCTCAGCCAGGCTGCCATACTTTACTGGCCTTTGGAGAACTCAGCATCTGAATCTCGTGTTTTTGGCTGCTTGTCAACCAATCAGACAAACCAGCAAGTCTTTTTAATTCTTTTTGGTCTAATTGGTATATGCACATGCTCTAATTGAAAATCAGTCACCTCACTGGTATATTGCTATAAACTATCATTTAAACTTAATCTCACGGAAATGATGACCACTCTTACCACCAAAACCTGGAGACTAAGTTCTTTCAGTTGATAAATTAGGATTGGTGGTGTATCAAGTGTCCTCCTTAGCAAGCCAGGTCTAAACACTTAAAACCATTTTACATACTCCTTGCAATAGCCTCACTTGTTTTTCTTCACGTTCTAAGTATTTCTTACTTTTAATAGTTACTATGGTACAAATACCAAAATTATACTTTCTAGACTGGATAATTAACAACACCCCAACCCTCACCTTCTGTTCTCTTATGTTCCTCCTTATCTGTCAGATCAATACATACCTTAAACCACAGTGGCTTCCTTACAGAATGCAGTAGAGGAGGCCCAGTTGCAGTCCCCAGAGGCAGAAGCTGAGGAGGTTGCTAAGCCCTTACCTGGCATTTGATCAATATGTCAAAGAAGTCGTCATCCAGGTCACCGTTGGCGCCGGCCCCGAGCTGGCCCAGCAGGGCGTGGCTGCGGTGCTGCTGCTGCCTCAGGCCGGGCAGCTGGCCCTGGCTCTGGCCCTGGCCCTGGCCCTGGCTCTGGCTCTGGCTGGGCAGCTGGCTCTGGCTCTGCCTCAGGCCAGGCAGCTGGCCCTGGCCCTGGCTCTGGCTGGGCAGCTGGCTCTGGCTCTGCCTCAGGCCAGGCAGGTGGCTCAGGCTGGCGCGCTGCTCGTCCAGGCGCCGGCTCTGTGAGCTCGCCAGCAGCTCCAGGAACTCGTCCGTGTGCGGGGACACCGCCGACGTGGAAAAGGCTGCCCGGGACACACAGAGTAATCAGAGTTAGCCTGGGAGTAAATCCATTGCTGTACTGAGTTGTCTGCAAATACATTTTGAAAATACTATTTGGCAAAAACTCGAGTCAAATATGGATTTTGCTTTTAAAAAATTACATTTTATCATCGTTTTAGGTGGAGTAGAGGATGTTGCCAGTGAAGGAGCTGGGAGTCTGTTCTTCTCCTGGAAGCAGCACCTCTGATCATCCATCCTGTTACTCTGGAACCGACTCAGCAGATCAAAGAACCCTTCGTCTGCCATTGGCTCACGGCTGCTTTTCTGAAAAGGAGAAAATTTGGGGTATTTGACCTTAGAGTGCCTACAGCTGGGACAACTGCATCAGAGTTTCAGTCCAGTGATATGCTTGATATTTACATATCTGAAATTTATTAAATAAATTTTTTTTAGTCAACCTTTTCTATAGCCAGACATCTATCCAAGGAGGAGATGCTAACGCTAGGGCAGCATTTTGGAGAGTGAAATATATTAGAAATGTCTCATTCTCTGAAATGGAAAGAAACTGCGCTCTGATCATGGTAAAATGGGAGTTATTCCTCCTCAGCTATTAATCCAACAAAACCCCAAATGCCCATGAGAAGAAAAAGAAACAAGACCAGCAAAGAACAGTTGCCATTGATCTCAGATCTATGACCAAATGCCTCAGTTCTTTTATTTTGAACTGACTTCTCAAGACTGTAATAACCTAAAAATATGTCCAAAATATCTCCCACTGTCTGGATCAGAAGAACAGATTTTGCTAAGTTTGGAGAAGTAGGGTCTAAAAGAGACTTAGAAATGAAATTTATTTGCAAGCTGAGGTCTAACTTCAAAAAAACCACCACAAATAAAATGTTTCAGTAGTAGGAAAATCTTAAAGCTGGCACCACCCCTGAGAGAGCTGTAGAATAACAGATTCTGCATCAGTTTAGAGCCACAGTGTTTAAATCAAGTTAAACTGAACAGGACAGCTGCAGGAAGGTGTTTTCCACAATTCTGATCACACAAAGATGAGTAAAGGCCATGGGCTCACCACACGTACCCTCTGAGAGTTTGGAAGTCGATGATCAATGGAATTACTGGCATCCTGCAAAACTTTGGAGGTGGTGCCATTTTTGTACTTTTTGCCTTTTAGTCGATTTACAAAATGAAGTTTTGCTGAAGTTTTGGCAACCAGTGGTTTCTGTTTAACAAGAATCTCACTGTTCCAGTTTGGAACCTAAGAAAACAAGAGTCAGGAAATTAAGCCTTCTGATTTTACTTACCAGTACTGTTACCCCTTACTTGCTGCTGCTTTTCCTCCCCAAACTGAGGCAGCTTTACACTATTTTGTTCTTGCAGCCACAAGGATGTACCCAGAGAGGCTCTTGAGTGCCAGTGCTGACTTCAGCTGTACTGACTACACATGCTTTGAGATTTCATTGATTAACATAACAGGCTTTGCCTTACCTGAAGAGACTGCAATTAGATATCCCAGTGAGGAGGGAAAAATAGCAATTTCAGTCTGCCACTGGAATCATTTATGCAGAGCTGCCAGCCCAGTATTGAAAGGCAGAATGTAGAAGAAATCTCTCATAGACTGACACAAGGATTTTAATTGGGAACTCCCATTGCCAAAAGATTCCTGAGCTTAGGGAGGGAAGTTGTTTTGCCTGTGACTCAGCTGTAACATTTCTGAAATAGCATCCTTACTCCAGATGGAGGCTGAAGCTTCTGATGGTTTGCAAGTTGGTTGAAATCTCAAAGTGAAAAACAGAGCATGTATTTTAAGTCCCTGTAAAATGACTGTAACCAAAGAAAAAGTGTTCAGAAGAGCTAAGCTAAAGCTCAGGAATTTTATTCTGAATTACTTTCATGCTGCAACCGCAACCCATCTCTATAAAGAGATGAAAATTCCTTTGATGCTCATTACATCACTCATGCAGGGAATAAAGCAGGCTTCCCACAAGCCACTACAGCCATCACCTGTCACATGCTGTTACCTACATAACAGAAGTATTTTTGGTTAGTATTGTTAGATGTGGTGTTATGGACCTCCTGTGATCAACTAAATTAAAAAGGGAGGCAAAAGGCACCTCAGCACACCCTCAGAAAGGTTTCACTGCAATATCAGAACAGAAAGAAGCAAAGTGCCAACCTTTTCTGGTGTTAATTTCATAAGTTCCATGTTCTCCATGCTGTAACGGCGTCCTCTTGGTCTGCCACCTTCAAGAGACAAATGCATCTTTTTATTATTAAAATTTATGGTGTCACTTGACAAGCTGTGGCTGTACTCCTCTAAGGTCCAAGGTCCAAGCCACAGACACAATTAGAACACACAAAGAAACTAAGCAGTACCCTGGGATTCACAATATAAATCCTCCAGAGAAGGAGGTGCTGAAGGGGTCCAATACCTCAAGAACCTTTTTCAGCTGCTGGGGAGAAAACCAAGCAAACTTCCATAGTCAACCCCAACTCATTAAAGAACTCAAATTAGATTCTTTTTTAAGTTCTCTGTTGGAAAACTACTTCAGAAAGAGGCACATACCATTCAAACTGTTTTCCACTGCGTGGCTTTCTGCCATCATGGAGTTGTTTGTGCTGTAGCTTAATCCAAGAACCATTTGAAGATCTGAGAGATTAAGTCTGGCAGTGAGTTCTCCACTTCTGTCTCCTACCTTCAAGCAAATAAAATAAGCAGTTGTATTACCTTAACAAATACATGTGTAACTGTAAAGCAATCCTTGTCCCATGACTTCTGAGAGAAAAAGGCTGAAAAGGTTTTCCTGCTTGAAGACTGAGAACATCTTTTTAAAGAAGTAACAACTAACAGGTAACATAGAAAAGCTAAAATAATTTCTGCTTGGCCACTAACTTGGGAGTCCATGACACCATTGTGAGTGGTGACACTAGGACAAAGGAGCTGACTGGCTGAAATAACCTGGAATCAGCTGTCTCTAGAATGACTGAAAATGCATTCCATCACTCAAACTCACACCTCCATAAAACCTCTGGGAGCAAGAGCAAAAACCAACAGCCAGCACAGTGGGAGTATGGAAATCATACCTCTCTTGAAATCTCCAGGTGCCTTTCTGCGAAATGGATGGCTTGGTCATGATTTCCCAGAGCAGTGTAAGCATTCCCTAAACTCCAGCATGCTCTTCCTTCCCCAATTCTGAAAACAACACACATTTGCAATTACACCTCTACCTGAACACCAGAGGTCAGGTTTTCACAGTACTGCCAAAGTAATTTGCTGGGCTAAAAAAATTGAGGCAATCATCAGTGACCATGCTACCCCCAACATATTAAATATTGTATTTAAGGAGTGTGATCTGGTTATAAATAAATATGAACAAATTTAATATTTTTATTAATTTTTAAGCTCACAGCAAACAAGTTAGTTTTGTAAGCATGGGACATTGTATAACCTACTTTGCTCCTCCTCAGTTTGCATGACTTATTAGTCCTCTGTATTCTTAGTGACTTAAGAACAGGTACATTTAAATGTTGCAAAAAAGTATGGTTGCACCCAACACTATAAAAAAACCTCAGAAATCAGTACTGTAATATAAACATTACTTGCTGCTGTGTTACTCTCTTTCCCCCATCCCTTCCTGGATTATTACCTTGTGGACAAGTAGAACACAGATTCTTATGAACGTAGGGTGAATTATTATAATGAACTCATGAAAGAAAGATCTGCTTTTCCCTAATTTACACAGACTTGCTGACAGGAGATGATGTAGAAAGAGTCATTCATCAATTTGTCTTTCATCTCAGACTCATTAGCTGCAATACCATTATGAGTAATTTTGGTTTTCCACATGAAAACCAAAGCCCAGCACTGGGGGAATTCACACGAATGCAGCTGTCACATGGGGAACAAGGCCAGCGGAGCTGAAGGTAACAGGATTTGCTCTGAGTGTCACACACACATGAAACAATCTCTTAGGGCTTACTTGTCATGTAGCTCCTGAGCAATCACAAGGTGTTTGAGGTGATAATCAATGGCTCTCTCATAGTCCTGCAGCAGAGTGTAGGTGTTCCCCAGGCTGTAGCAGGCCTGTGCTTCCACAGCTCTGTCCTTCAGCTGCCGAGCCAGCTGCAGCGTCCTCCTGCAGGAGAGGGTCAGGAACCACCACAAGGAAAAGCTTTCAGAAGTGCACTTGCACAACTGAAAATCTGTTACACAACTTCAGCAAATTGGGGCAGCAGGCAGCAAATTATTGGCTATTAAATTACTATCTTGTAAACCCTTGCAATCTCACACTTGTAAAGTCCTCCCTCCACTGCAACCTACTTCATTAGAGAGCAGGCTGATTCCTCAAACAGCATCATTTAATTTACTGCTCCATTAATAATTTGTAGGAGTTTCCCTGAGGTTGCACTGTTTAATAGCAGTGTTACAATACCTACTTTCCTACTTTCCATCAGAATGGGCAGGACAGGCCTGCACTCACCAAGCCAGCTGAGCTGTGCTGGGCAAGAAGAATTTGAGGGCTCAGAGGGATCTGCTCAGTACTGGGGCTTTTCTCCCTAAGAAATGCTGTGCTCTGGAATCCCAGTCAGATGCTAATAACACCTATACTGTATCTTTGCCAAGCTTTTACTTTCCCAGGTACAGCAGTAACTGCTTAGTGGTGCAGAGATGAAGACAAGTCTGGCTTGAAAATACAGACTAAAGATGTAAATTGATCTCAGCTGGTGAGCACACCTGAGGCAGCCACCCATCTCAGGGCAGGAAAGCTGCTCACACCATTCCAGCACTCACTAAGAGCTCAGACAGTGATGCCTGCTTCTGGAATAATGGCAATAAATGCCTAGCAGTGAAAGATGTCTGTCTACAGCACTGCAAAGAAACTCTTTAAAGTAGCAAAAGAGTTAAAAATATAAAAGGCGTTAATGCTGCCCCTCCCTTAAGAGAACCAGAACAGTTCAACAACAAAGGAAAAATTTCTTTGCTAAACAAATGGAAATTTTTCTAAAGTATGTGTTGAAGCAATGGCTGTTCCACAGTGAGCTACAGTATCAGGCACGACAGAAGTAAACTGTACAAGAGATATAAATTGTGTTTGTCAGCAGTCACTCACCTGTAGTATTCAGCAGCAGTTTCAAATTCCCCCAGGAATATGTAGGCATTTCCAAGGTTGCTGTATGCTCTTCTTTCTGCTGATCTATCACCAAATTCTTTTGCAATGAGGAGACGCTTAAAAATGTGAAATAACTGCATTAGTTACTCCACTTTATACTTTGTAACGTACACTTGCATGCAGAAATGCAAGAAAAAATTGCATTCTTGAGGTCAACAACAATGCTATGATAATATAAGAACAGCCAAACGTGAAGTTTATGTCATTAAGATTTAAAACCTGCATTAAAAAGCTTGCAACAAGATCCAGCACACAACACATGTACTAAAGGTCAGGAGCAACCTG